GCACATGCGAAGCGAGTTGTCCTTCTTAGGAACCATGACGACATTGGTGAGCCACTCGGAGTGGTATATCTCTCGGATAAACTCTGCTGCAAGGAGTCGAGCCACCTCCTCGCCAATGGCTTTTTTCTTCTGAACGGCGGACCGTCGAAGATGTTCTTTAACAGGTTTCGCTTTTGAGTCGACTCTAAGGCGATGCTCAGCCAGCCCCCTGGGAACACCCGGCATGTCAGCTGGCTTCCATGCAAAGATGTCCTAGTTCTCACGGAGGAACTAGATAAGCGCTTCTTCCTATTTTGAGTCGAGTGTTGTGGAAATATGGGTCGGAGCTGCATTGGGGTCAGTCGGGTGGATATGAACTGGCTTCGTCTCCCCAGACGACTGAAATGCTGACTTTGTGGCGGGCTTCTTGGCCCGCAGCAAATCACTTGGATCTGCATTCTTCTTGTATTCCTCCAGTTGTACCACTGTTATTTGGTCATCCGCAATCTTTGAGCCTTTCTGGAAACACTCTTCTGCCTTCTTCCGGCTGCCAGTGATAGTGATCACGCCTTTGGGGCCAGGCATCTTTAATTTGAGGTACACATAACATGGTCGAGCCATGAAGCGGGCATAGGCTGATCTTCCCAAAATAGCGTGGTAGGCGCTTCGGAAATCCATGACTTCAAATGTCAGCTTCTCTTTGCAGAAATGCTTCGAGTCGCTGAACACTACATCCAGAGCTATTTGGCCGAGTGACTCAGCCTTCTTTCCAGGGATGACTCCGTGAAAACTCATGTTGCTGGAACTGAGCCTAGACATCGGAATGCCCATACCCTTGAGCGTCTCTGCATACAGTATATTCAATCCACTGCCGCCATCCATCAGTACCTTCGTCAGTCGAGTGCCTTCGACGACTGGGTCGACCACCAGCGCTTGCCTCCCAAGGGTGGCAATGTGAGTAGGGTGATCAGACTGGTCGAAAGTGATGGGAGTTTGCGAACATCTCAGATAGCTTGGTGTCGCCGGGGCGACCATATTGACCTCACGGTTGATCACTTTTAGCCGACTTTTGCTCTCTACATCAGCAAAAATCATCAGAGTGGAGTTGACATGAGGGTACTCTCCATCACTGTCCTCCTTGTCCTTGGCCTTGTCCAACTCCTTCTCTTTGTCCTTCGGCTGTTTTCCTTGAAACTGTTGGATTAAGAGCCGGCACTGGCGAGTGGTATGCTTTGGGTAGATGAAGTTACCCTCTTCGTCTTTCTTCGTGTGGATATGAAACGGTAGATCCATCACGTCATTACCTTCATTATCTTTTACCTTCTTGGGGTTCCAAGATCCTTTGGGCTTCCCTTTGAATTTGCACTGAGTCACGGCCAGAGCCTCTCCAGGAGCAGCTGGCTCGGCCTTCCGCTTCTACTTCCGACTGGAGTTTCCTTTCTCCGACTGACTCGTCTTGTACTTGCCACTCCGGAGTCGGTCCTCTTCTTCGCCATTGGCGTACTTGGTGGCTATTTCCATCATCCGACTCAGGGTCATATCTCCAGTTCGACCAAACTTCAGGCTCAATTCTCTGTTCTTGACACCATCCTTGAAGGCGCAGACCGCTTGATGGTCTGACACATTCTCTACAGTATGATGCAAAGTGATCCATCTCTGGATGTAATCTCTCAGTGTTTCACTCGATTTTTGTACGCAAACTTGCAGCTCTGTCAGTCCGGCCGGTCGCTTGCAAGTTCCCTCGAACGTCCTGACGAACACTCGGGAAAGATCTTCCCAGGTGTAAATGCTGCTAGGAGCTAACTGATTCAACCACGCCCTGGCCGAACCCTCTAGCATAAGTGGCAAATGCTTCATGGCCACCTCATCATTACCGCCACCAATCTGAACAGCCACTCGGTAGTCTTCAAGCCAAGTTTCAGGCTTAGACTCTCCGGTGAACTTACTCACTCCAGTCGCCAACCTGAAGTTGGGGGGTATCACTGCGGCTCTGATGGCTCTGCTAAAGCATTCTGGACCTGAAACATGGACTCGGCTGTTTGTGGGCACATCTCTGTCATGGCCACCTCTATGAGATCTGTTCCGGTCGACCAAACCTTGCACGATGATGGATCTCGCGTCAAAGCCCGGCTCTCTGGGGTCGACTGGAGCTCTCCGCCCAACACCGAGCTGGCGTATGTCATCTTGCTACCGATGGGCGTTAGACCCACTTCTCGGGGGAGGAGTGGGCACTCGACGCCTGTCATCACGATCAAATCAATCATCATAGTGGTCCCGCCGGCCTTCACGTCCCACGCGCCTCGGAGGCGACCTTGGACTGTGAGCCGACTGAACAGTATTCGCAGCGACAGATCGACTGTGAATCCTGTTGCGCGACTGTGACACAACTGAATTATGATCTCCTGCCGCCCGGAGCAAATCTCTGATCTGCATCAAGCCTCTTCCAGCCTCCGACTGAGAGGGCTAAATTGACTCCGCTATACGGGCTGCAGCTGCCAAATTCTGAATCGGGGTTCGATATACCTGAGTCGGTTGCGGAAAGAGCTGACGTCGGCTGGAGTCGGGTACTCGTTGACGCGCACGCTCGTCGAGTGCTCGCTGGAGGTTCTCCAGTCGAGTGCGTTCAGCCAAATTGGCCAAACGCGCCTCTTCCATGGCACGAGCCTCGGGAGTTTCTCCTGCAATGGGAGTATGCAAGGCATCCATGTTCCGGCGGCGAAGTTCTTCCCTCTGCTGAGAAGTGAGTGGCTCGGGCTGATACTCTTCGTGGGCCTGAGCGGGGTCGCCCCCGTCGTCCATCCCGTCATTGCAGGGGAAACCGGGAGAACTACGAGGCCCGTTGACCATCAGGACCTCCGCCGCTGGATCACTGCTATCGCACTCGGATGCAGTCTCTACGGAGCCAGTCGAACATGTCGTAGAGAGATTCGTTGGGCTCAATTGCCGCGACTTGGGTGGTGGCCGATTGGCGAGCCACTGCGTGTCTCACCCATCGCTGGAGCCTCGACCGACCGGAGCGCTTGCGTTGGCGGGAGACAGGGAGGGAAGACAGCGCAGGAGTCGACCGGTATGGGGTCGACAGCTGCCGCAGCAGGACGCCGCGGACACATGCCCGAAAGTGCGTCGCCCCGCGGACGGGGAGCGCGTCGATGTCGAGTGGTGCCTTCTGGAGCCAAGCGGAGTCATCGGCGATGAAAGCGAGCGTACCGAGACGTATCTCGCGGCCCTCGACCAGAGCTCCGCCAGAAACCATGATGAAGGCAATCGGACAAATTGCAACTTCTCCAAAAAGTCGCTAAGACACCTGCCCCACGGTGGGCGCCAACTGTCGTGGTTCTAAGTCTGACAATAGAATGGGGGGTAGGTATGGAGAAGCAAGATCCTAGCTATGGAGTAGTTGTGCACACGAGTGTTTAACGAGTTCAGGCCCTTCTCTGAGGAAGTAATAGCCCTACGTCTCGGAGCCCGGAGGCGGTCGACTGGTTTATGCGTATATGAGTTACAGGGGTGCGAACCCTTCTACCAGTGGAGGGTGGTGGCTTATATAGAGGACGCCAGGACCCCAGCCAACCCACGTAGCAGAGGGTTAAAGTACATTAAGGCCGGGCGTTACTGGTAACGCCCTACATAAAGTGTCATCATGACCATTAAGACTACTTAATTACAGACCGTTTTGATGCAGAGTAGATCCTGAACTCCTGGTGGTCGAGTGAGTCTTCATGGTCCAGTGTCTTCTAGCCGGTCGAGTGGAGTCCCTCTTGGTCGACTGGAAGGTAGCTTCGTTTAAGGATGTCCTTGGGTATGGTATCCTAGATAGGTCCATGACCCTACCCTAGATACATAACATCATCAATGACTCCTCCACTCAGCTCCACCATCGCAAAACTTAAGCTCCAGCACATCGCCGACACCCGGACACGGCTTGCTTGATAAAATGCCATGAAGAAACAGAGGAAGATGTAAAAATAAACCTAGGAAGAATATAAACACCGAGTCATTGACAGAATGAGAGGTTGGACCCATCTCCGCCTCAGCAAAATGTACATGTAGACAAGCCATGTCAGCCCGACAAGTGGGCCCAACCTGTCGGTTTTCCTATTTTCGCGAGCAAATCTGACAATCAATACTCTTCGTCAGTCGTTACGCGCAATTCCTCGTGCGCTGGTTGAAAAGTAGTATTGAGTTGTTACTATAGCCCTAGATGCGATAGTTTTTTGTAAGGATTCCTTTTCGTAAATACCCCACGGTGATACAATGTTTTCTCAGGCTTGTTTTCCTCTGCACGTGCATGGTCCCCTTAAGCCATAGCTGATTCTTTCTTCTTCTTTTCTGCGGGAATCCATAGCTGATTCCAGTCCATACTTTTCTTTGTTCACAGCTAAGTGTTGATTGCATGTAGTATTTTTTTTCCAAAACAAGGGCAAAAGCTTTGCCATTTTTCATTAAAAAGTAAAAGCGAGTTATCTACGACCTCTTATAGCGATTTCATCTTGCCAGAGGTTGGATCGTGCTTACCAATAGTCCAGATCGCATGGTCGTTCGTCTCATAGTTCACTTTTGACGTTTTTTTTCCTTTTCTGAAAATCCTAGGTGCCGCATAGTCGGGGATTCGCACACAGAGCTAAACAAGATGGACCGACCCACTTTTGGTTTTTTACTGTTTTTCTTTTCTCTTTTGTTTTTGTTTCTTTTCTTTCCCTTTTTGTTTTCTTTTTACTTTTTATTTTTCATGATTTTTAAACTATTTGCATTTTTTAAATGTTGATGTTTTTATATATTTTAGTTTTCACAAATTGTTTTCTTTAAGTTGCCGTTTACAAACTTCAAAAATGTTGCCGTTTCCAAATTAATTTCTTTTCCTACATAAGTTCCGTTGTATAAATACCATGTTTAATTCTCTAAGATTGTGTCATATATACTATATTTCTGAACGCGAGCAGTAACAATACACAAATTAAGATACACCACCTGGTTCCAATTCTCAACAGAAATTTGTTCCACGGCATCCGCTACTAGCTTCTCTAGTTGAGGACGTAGCATTTCTTCCTTATGTCTCCGTCACCGCCGGTAAGCACGCCGACGTTGCCCATCTTGATCATGGACTCGCTGAAATCCCCGAAGAACGCGTCGTCGAATTTACCGGTAGCGACGCGCCGGACGTATTCCTCGGTGGTGGCGTCAGTGAGCAGAGCAGCGTCGGAGCGGAAGAGTCCCCTGCGCTTGGCGACGTGGCGGTAGTAGCTGATGTCGAAGGTCCTGTAGCTGCCGGGATCCATCTCCGACAACATCCTCTTGTCGTCAACGCTCTTGCACTTCAGCCTCAGCTTGTCGGCGTACTCGCTGTCCAGCGACGGGTCGACGAGGCCGTTGCCGGTGCTGTTGTAGAGCCGGTCGGCGAACGACGGGCAGTGCGCCGTGCCGAGCGTGTGCGCGCCGGAGAGGACGACGAGGTCCTTGAGGCCGAGCCCCTTGGAGGCGAAGATCCGGGTGAGCAGAGGGACGTCGCCGAAGGAAGGAGGCAGCTCGTCGCTCGCCTCGGTGGCACTGGACATGCTGCCGTCTCTCCTGCCAAGCGCCACGGGCCAGGATGGGCCCTTGGCCAGGACGACGGCGTCGCGGGCCATGAGCGTGAGCACGTCGGCGCAGGACACAACGCCCGGGCATGCGGCCTCGAGTTTGGCCTTCACCCGCTCCACGGAGCCAAACCCTCGCAGGCTCTTGTTGGGCTTGGCGTCCCTCTCTGCCAGGTTGCCCTTGGCGGAGTCCAGCAGCACAGACGCGTCACAGCCCTGCATTTTGCGTTGCGTTTGCGTGCATCATCCATCAGTACACGGACATGCATACTTCTGCAAGTGCACAAATACTGGAGATGATCAATGGAACGCAGATTGTTGAGAGATGTGCTTACCCTGACAAAGCAGTCGTGGAAATGAAGCCGGAGGAGCGGGCCGGCGAGGCTGGGCGCGGCGGAGATGATCTTCACCATCTCCTCGCGGACTATCGCCTCCACGTCCGGGCATGACTTGCGGTAGTATCCGATCTCCAGCTGGGCCACGGCCGAGCTCGCGGCGAGAACCAGCAGGGATAGAGGGATCAGGAAAGACCCCATCGCCATGAAGCTTCAGAAGCAAGGATGTCTTGCTACTGGATTGTTAAGTGATCTGCGTAAGATCGATGAAACGTGGGTGGATTGATATGTCCTTGCAGTTCCCGGTATTTATAGATGTGTCAGGAGGGCCGCTGATTACGTAGTAGACGTACTTGGGTGGATATGTATCTGTGCGACGGACACCCTGTTTCTGCGTATACACGCATGTGCTAACTTCCACGGTTCCACCTCAATTAGCTACCACCAGCTAGCTATGTACATGGTTAAGAAATACACACAGAATTATGCAACGAAGCATTGACGCGAAACAAATTAGACACCGGCCAGTTCGTGACCGCGTCCATCACAGGATGACCTGTACCTATGTCATCTTGCACGAGTTTAGCTAGCTTCAGCGGACGGGAAGGCATGCAATTATCCTCGACATGAAAAAGGAACATCGGAGTACAGTAATAGACGAAGGGAATAAAACTCCATGTGCCTGGCCAATGATTTGGGCAGTTCGTCGCCAAGGGAATAGTATAGCTCTGTGATGGGAGGAATTCTTGGGTGATGCGGCGGATTTCAATGGCATGTCCCGTAACGTACGTGAAGGTTACGAAAGATGCACGTTCTCCGCAGCATTGGCAGGTAGGTTGACCATGCCCGTTTGGCCTTTTGCGCGCCAACATGGAGGGTTTGGAACAACCTGCAGACCGATCGATATGTACACTGATTCTTTGACAGGCAGAGTTCTAATTCATTGCCTGGTAAACAGGCGTTACAACGTCATTGCATCGAGCTTTACCGCAAAGCCTGTCATGAAACCACAAATTTCAGTTGAGGATATCCATCGGCAGGACAAGTGTATGGAGGAGGCGAGAGGGAGGAAGAACGAAGGGCTAGGGTGGAAGTTTGCTACCACTCATT